GGCCCGATGCCTGTGTACCTATGGACTGTTCCTATGTTCCATTGCAATGGGTGGTGCCTCACTTGGGGTGTGGCAGCTCAAGGAGGCACCAATGTTTGTCGCAGGCGTGTCTCTGCAAAGGACATATTTGAAAGTATCTGTCTCCACAAAGTAACACACATGGGTGGTGCACCAACAATCTTGAACATGCTTGTCAATGCACCTGCCAGTGAAAGGAAGACACTTCCCCACAAGGTTGAGGTGATGACAGGCGCTGCACCACCACCTCCAGAGATCTTGTTCAAGATGGAGGAACTTGGTTTTGGCGTTACACACTCATATGGCCTAACAGAAACCTATGGTCCAGGAACAGTTTGTACATGGAAGCCTGAGTGGGATGCCTTGCCTGCTCATGAACAGGCAAAGATCAAGTCCCGCCAAGGCCTGCAACATCATGGAATGGAGGAGGTTGAMATAAAAGATCCAGTGACCATGAAGAGTGTACCAGCAGATGCAAAGGCCATAGGCGAAGTAATGTTTAGAGGCAATGTGGTGATGAATGGGTACCTTAAAGATTTGAAAGCAACACAGGAAGCTTTTAAAGGGGGTTGGTTTCATACTGGGGATCTTGGTGTGAAACACCCTGATGGTTACATAGAGTTAAAGGACCGTTCAAAGGACATCATAATTTCTGGAGGGGAGAACATAAGCACGATTGAGGTTGAATCTGTGTTGTTTAGTCATCCTGCAATTCTTGAGGCTGCTGTTGTAGGCCGACCTGATGAACATTGGGGGGAGACACCTTGTGCCTTTGTAAAGTTAAAAGAGGGATATAACACAAATTCTGAAGAGATCATAAAGTTCTGTCGTGGCCACTTGCCACATTATATGGTTCCTCGAACCATTGTTTTCCAGGATTTGCCAAAGACTTCAACTGGAAAGGTACAGAAGTTTGTTCTCAGGCAGAAAGCAAAGGCTATGGGCAGCCTCTCTARGAAGAGTACCAGCAAGCTTTAAGACATCCTTGTCTGGAAGGGAATGTAATATTGTATTGAATGCAAAACTTTCTTGTTCACAGAACTATTGAAGGTATCTTTGGAAATGTTCATTATTGCTCTATTWATTGTGCTAGTCTAATTTTCACCACTTCATCTGCCACACGAGCATTGTTATAGCAGATTGGGGTGTGGAAAACACTAGATTTGAGGCTCAAAGCCTCAAATTACTATTAAAMAAGGTAAAAAGATATAAGSAAWACATATTTCGCTAGTTTTTGTCTAAGAAAGTAAGAATTACATTTCAATCGGCACAAAAGGCATGCAGGTATTAACATATTATATAACTTTGCTWATAATACTTATMAAAAAAAMACTTTGATAATAATGCATTAATCAATATTTCAGCTCTCAATTTACTTAAAATTCAATAAGAATTTTCATAAATTAAACGCCTACAACTAGGGGTGTCAATTGGACTGGATTTGGTCCAATCCGATCCAATCCAATGTGAGTCCATTATAAATGGACCTGGTCCAGTCGAGTCCAGTGAATATTTTGGACCATTTTGCACTGGTCCAATTCAATGTCTAGACTGTCCAATCTGTTCAAATTCGTTTTGATTTAGATTGGTTTCAACCCAAACCGGGTCCATTAACACCGATATTCTTATCCTATATCAGTGGACCGAATATTGACTTAATCCAACCCAATCCAATATAAATTTATTACGGACATACCAGGTCCATTCCAATCTAATAAATATTTTGGACCGAATTGGTCCAATGACTCCAATCCAATATGTCTTCTTAACAAGCTGCCTCAAATGCTTAAAGATCCAGGGAGTTTCACTATCCCTTGCAATATAGGCAGTTCAAAAATTGAAAAAGCATTATGTGCTTTTGGGAGCTAGCATAAATTTAATGCCATACTCGGTTTTCAAAACATTGGGATTGGGAGAGCCCCAACCCACCAAAGTTGCATTGCAATTGGTTGATAGGTCCATTAAGCATCCTAGGGGGATCATAGAAGATGTGTTAGTTAAAGTAGATAAATTCATTTTTCCTGTTGATTTCATTATATTGGACATACAAGAAGATGCGGATGTCCCTCTCATCCTAAGGAAGCCTTTCTTGGCTACCAGGAAGGCAATGATTGATATCCAACAATGACAACTTAGCCTTATGGTACAAGATGAGGAAATAATTTTTAAAATGTTTGATGCCATGAAACATGCACCCTCTAGTGATGACTCTTGTTACATGATTGATGTTCTTGATGATGCAGTTAATGATTGCTTCCAGGTGAATAAGTCGGCTGACCCTCTTGAACCTTGCCTACAACAAGGAAAAGTTGAAATGGGAGAAAATTAGGAAATAAACCTCATGATGGCATACTTGAATGATAAGCCTTGGTTCAAAGGGAAGGGATTTCTTATGTTAGAAAATTTAGGCAAAACTCTTGTACCAATAGGCAAGCCATCAATTTAAGAACCCCCCACCTTTGAACTGAAGCAATTACCACCCCATTTGGAGTATGCTTTCCTTGATGAACCATCAGTTCTCCCTGTAATAATTTCTGCATCCTTGAACCCATTGCAAAAAGAAAAATTGCTAAGAGTGTTGCAGGAACACAAAAATGCACTAGTCACACAAAGTATAAGGAAAAATAGTTTGTTTCAATTTTTTCCCAGTATATCTACTTGTACAAAAACTACTAACATGGCTTCATCCAGCATATCCATGCATTTCAAGCACCCAAGCATGTAAATCTACTAGAACTAGAAGAATTAAATTTAATCCATCCCCAAGGAGGCAGCTCCCAAGCACCAAAGAGGATATGGGAGGAGGCAAGTGAGAAGCTTGACAAGGGAGGAGCCAAGCCACAACATAGGACAGAGGGGCACATTTCTAAAGAGAAAATGTTCCTGACAGTCCATATCGACCAACAAGTGAAAGCAATTCCTTGAAACCAACAAGTAGGATCGGCATATTGCGAGAAACCCATGGAGAAAATCTTAGTAAGCCACTCACAGTCACAGAAGTTGTTAGAATGAAATCCATCTGGCTGGATACTGAGGGGGAAGAATCCAGAAGGCATGGGCAAAATTGCACCTAGGAAGAGGAGTGTGAATATCATATTCCTTGTCCTACAATTGCATTAACACTTGCATGCTAGAGGAAATACCTGGTTGTAGAATTTTTGTTTGACTAAATTACCTCAATTTTTAATCTGGTCCATGTCTAGTTATAAGGACAAAAATGTAATTTAAACAACCACTTTTCTCTTCATTCAAATTCCTCTCATTAAGTCTTATACTTAAGGTATTAGCTCCCATTAACATTCAATTGAATTCTATTGTTGAATGGAATACACCTATTTGAATTCGGTCTCTTTCTAATTGTGAGAACACAAAATGTAATTTGAATTATTACATTTCTTATCATCCAATTCCTTCTCATTAAGTCTTATATTTAGGGTATTAACTTCATTCTTTCATTGAATCCTATGTTCAAGCGTTTCTTTTCACTAAAAAAATAAATAAATTCCATCAATCAGATCTACATACAAGAATTTTAACAATACAAAATATATGCTTCTTAAAATGAACCCAAAAATGAAACCATTTTTCATCCTAGTGGCGAGTAAGCAATTCAATCATCCAGGTCAAGGGGATCAATCCATGATGTCATAATTAAATAAAAACTTTTAAAATATAAATAAATAAAAAATATAGAAAAATCGGGCATATCTCTAATGTTTTATATATGGGTTCGACTATGATACAAGAAAGATATGATATGGAAATGCTTATAGCCAAACAACTGGTATCATAAAAGGGATGATCAATCAAGTGGTTTTATTTAAAATTCACTAGGGTGCTTTGATTGGTCAAAACTCTACCGATGCCATAGATTTTCCCTTTATATTAAATAAAAATTAGTGTGGTAAATAATAGTTGCTTTGTTGATGTTTGAAATAAAATATGAAATATGAAATATAAAATTGACCAAAAAATGAATTTTTTTCTTAGTGGTGGGTAAACAATTCAACCTTTTGGGTCATATGTGTCAACCCTTGATCTCATAATTAAATAATAAAATTAAAAAAGTTAAAAACACAAAAAATATATAAATTATGAAGAAACTATTTAGGCATATCTCTAATATCTTATATGGTTCGTATTAAAAATAAAAAGTTGAAAACACAAAAAATATATAAATTATGTAGAACATTTTGGTTCATTGCAGTTTTATGCATGTTTGGGTTCATCGCAAACTTGCATGTGTCTTAGTTTTATCACAGATTCGTGCTAGCCAAAGTTCATCGTGACCTGTTCTAGGTGTGAGTTCATCGCAATCGCGGACCTGTGATGAATTCATCACAATCGTGCGATGGGTTCTGCATTCATCGCAGGCGATTGCACGGCTTGGCCGATCATCTCTAATAGCCAAAGTTTCTGCAGTGACCACAACCTTGGCCGATTGCACGGCTGCGCTAACCACTTTGTTCGGGAAAAGGTTGATTTTAGGACACTAGAACATTACCGATGTGTGCAATGGATTGCTTGGTGGGTTCACAACAATCACCTCTGGCTGCTCAATAGTGGAGCCATGGGCTGCTATCATCTGCGGTTTCGTTGCCTCCTAGGTCTTGATTGGATGCAACAATCTTGCTAAGTTCGAATATTTGATTCAAATTCGACCAATTAATTATTTTATATAATTAATAAATATTTTATTTATATAAATATATAAATTATTTATATAATTTAATTATTATATATATATATATATTATATAAAACATTTAAATATTTTATATAAAAATTGAATAATCAAAGAATATTTACCAAATTGAATCAAATCAAATCCAAATTCAAATCTGAAAAACTAACCGATATGAATAAAATGTCCCAGAATGATCCAAATTAGATTGGATTATATAGAATCACGAATTCAAAATGGAATTCTTCAATACCATAGACACCCATAGCCTTCATTGAATAATTAATAATAATTTTATTTATCATAAAGTACTTCTCGCAGTTTTTCCTCGCAATCTGATTTGCCAAAGTGGATTTCCCCCAAGAAGCCATGGCCCTGCTTTCGAGAATCTGAACTCTATTCCGTCTGCGTCACTCTTTACGTCATGCTAAACATTTTATGACAAATTTGCCCTTCTGTACATTCCACGTACGTTGCATGATTGCATCAGTCGATCTTATTTATTATTGCCAACCATCATTCTCCCTGTTATTGTTGCCAACTTCACTCCTGTTCGAATGAAGTGAGCCATGGCCCTGCACAGATGTTTGAGGCTTGCCTCTGCTCTGGCCCATATCGTGAATTTCAAGTTTTCAACTGGAGACGTCGTGAGTTCTGTTTTTCTGTTTAACTTCCTATTTTGTTCAAATATTCTGCTTTTTCATTCATCTGGATCCGTCGTCTGAGTAGTCCTTAACCAGAATTAGTAAAACTAATGCCATCGGAGTTTCATCTGGAACGCAACAATGAAGTAGCTAGAAATCACTGTCATTGTCTTCACTCTTCAAGACTCTTTACACTCAATTCTGATAACTTTCTCCTACTTAACCCTTGCATTTGCAGGTTGCCGTATTTGCACCAAACGTTCCAGCAATGTACGAGTTGCATTTTGGGGTTTCAATTGCAGGAGCTGTTATATTTGTACACTCAGCATACGTCATGATTCTGCAATGGTGTCAATGCTAGCTGCTGAGACACTCAGAGGCCAGCAATGTTTCAGATCTAGCTTGGATACCAGTTCGAGATCTAACTTGGATAAGGATACTAAGAGATGGCCATTTCTTGTATTTTCATATTAATATGATCTCTAAATCTTTTGGTTCTACTCTACTCTTATTAATCTTATCTTGTATGAGACCTATATAAACTAAACTCTTGAGAACTTTATAAATACAAATAACTTCGGTGAACCAAATCACTGAAGTCAATTGCCTTCTCTCATTCATCTTGTTGTGTTTTTTTATATTATTATTGTTCAAACTTGGTATCAGAGCCAATGGAATCAATGGCTCTCAAGGAAGCAACTTCAATCGAACCTGATGAAGGTGGATTTGGCCCTCCTATGACACTGTGACACA